TGTAGGCGGACTTATCTGAAGGTTTTCATCTGAGTCAAAAGAAGCGGACTTATCTGTAGGCGGTCTAACCTGATGGGAGGACTTATCTGTGAGATTTTAGGATAAATCAATTTTTTGTGATAAACAAAAACATGCAAGGCACATTTGCATGAGCTTTCGAAAACATGCTGGACACAAAACAACGGAAAAGTATTCATTTAATAATCACTTAGGGACCCACCATTATCACTAATACCTTCGTCGTCACTTCCGAAATCGTCATCCATCTCCATTTCGGAGTCATTATCATTCGCAAACTTGATATCACCGTTCATATCCTCATCTTCGTCGGAGTCAAACAAGGCCTTTTTCTAACAAAAATAGAGATGAGAAGAAAACTTCCTTATTGTTAGTAAAAAACGATTTTAGTTTACCTTCTTGATTCCATTAGAATTCCCCTGCAAGTTTGCCGAAGATGATTCCTAAAAATATACCAAGAATCTCTGAAAAAAAAAACGAATGCAAGGAATTTCTCATAGACTTATAGCACACCAAGTGAATGCGCAGTGCTTATGTGCAAAGGTAAAGATCTGTGACTCGAAAAACTGAGCTACACTCAAACTCCATGATTCGTTTCAGAAAGCCTACGATTGCGTTAACCTTTGCGGCATCACTCACTAGAAAAATGGTTTGAAATATAGTCCCCCGGTTTCAAACTGAAACTGCTTCGAGTTTTGAAAAGATTTGAATGGATGTGCTTCATGGATGACTTTGGAGATTATGCGATATATTTTTGAAAAGGAGAACAAACAAAGACGCTCGTAGTAACCACGCCCAGCAAGACGTCCTCACCTCCAATTTCCTCTCTTTAGTTTTTGGCTTCTTTTTCTTTGTAGGTAATCCAACGGATTCTGCTTGTTGAGATGCCTAGAGCTACAAACTCACTATATCATGTTAAGGTTGTGATAAGAGTACCTTCTTAAATTTTTGCTCCTTTTTTGGTAAATCCTTAATGACTGCGACATTCCCATCCTAAACGAAAGTTGGTTGAACGAGATGGATTCAGTTTTGACAACAAAACTGCTACTTGACATAAATGTAAAACATGAAGCAGAAAAGCTTGCTAGTCATTCCCGTTCCATAAGATTTGAAAGGTTCCATGTATTCCTTTCGCAAAACAAGATAGCCTCGAACAAAATCATCTAGAGATAATGCAGAAAAGAGTTTGCAGAGTTATTGGGGGTGGGTAACACATCACAATTATTATATTCGTTAGCTTTTCCGAGCAGTCACTACAGCTTCGGATCTATTCGAACGCTTGATGCCCAATGAACATTCGATCCTCTAATATATAAAGAATCGAAACCACAACCCCTCACTTTTCTGAGCAATCGTTACGGTAGCCTGAGTACCGTAATACCCCCTCCCTTACCTCCCCCCTCAAGGCATAATTCAATAAAAATT